TATATTGAAAATATATATTCAACAAAAGAAATTGCACCATAATAAAGGCATTAATTCTCCTTAACCTTTGGCCAACATAAAATTAGCATATACGATGCACCTGATATATGATAGACACAGTATTATGAGCCGGAGGGTGGAAATTATCACACGTGAAGCTTCTTTCCTGTAGAATCCTGGTTTTGTCTCTCCCATCTTACAAAACAGCTACCACCTACTTCTCATCCATCATATCCCTGTTTTTTCCTAACAAAGTTGCAACAACTGACATGAACCTTCTCTCCTCCAGTGGTATTTTCATATCCCCTTCAATCTAAACATCCACCTGCACCATTTCATTGACTATTGTTAACTGAGGCACTAATGATCTAGCTATACGCTAGCCAAATTCCCAGCCACATCCACATCCTCCTTCAAATCTTTCGCTTTTACACCACTGGCCACTGCCGACCCTCTGACATATGGCTTTTGCAGCTCAGCTTTTTCATGTTTCTTATCCTGTTGCTCCTATCACTTCTTCCAACTCTGACTTACTAGGCTTCTCTCCTCCTCCCTATTCCCTTAGCAAATCCCTACAGAAGGATCAAGGGCTAGTCCTTCCCTCTTCCCCTGCTCCTCACTTTACATACAGGTGCCAATTATCCACTTACGTTATTACAATCATCTTTTTCAGGATGGTGAACACTTAGGTTCCTATGATCTATCACTTCCCTTCTAACACTCCACCTTACTCCACTTAAATCACCTCTACTGGTATTAAGCTAATTTTCACTTAAAAAAGGAAGACAGAAAAAAATTCCTCCTAAAATGTCTTCATTGTCTCATTTCTAGAACTGACATGAAATACAGTTCTGGACTAGTAAAATAAACTCTTCTCTACACTTGGCTATTACAGTCTAAAGTCAGGGGAGTAAGCACTTCTGCTTTTTCTCCTACTAACTATGAAAGCAAAGGTTGTCAAGGTCATTTTGCTTCCTATCTCAAGACAGATGAGCTATTTTCCTTTTGCTTTGCATTTTTACTAAAAACATTGTAGAATCAGGCAAGCGTCTTCTATAAAAAACAGAATTTATTCAGACTTTTTCCCTTTTTACAGTACTTGCATTTTAAGGTTGTACGCCTTCAAGCCCACTTGATCACTAATTGCTACAATTTTATCTATTACTAATCTTTCAGAATGTTACGTCTGTACATTTATGGCTCAGTGATCTTTCTTTCCTCCCTCCCAGTTCCTAAAAATTGAGGAACTTTCATTCTTTTCTTCTGCCCCTAGTCTTCGTCCAAATCACAGCAGTTTCTGCCACACTCCAATGACTGTACCTACTTTGGCAACTAAAATATATATGTGGAACCAGCAGCCACTTTAGTAGTTTGTAGCAAACACATTAGGGTTCGACTTTATCCTGGTTAACAGCAAATAAGTAGTTTCATTTCATACAAAACTTTTGTTTAATTTACATTCCTCCCATAGAGATGTGTATTCTTCCTGAACAGCAGAGCTTAAAAGGACAAGCCATTACTGAGACACTGGGTTTAAAGTAATTTCTAATCAGAAACACAGTGTGGCTCACCAGTCAGCATAGCCTGGACATAACACAGTATTTTTGTACACATTTTCTTTGCTTACTATATCAGAGTTCCCACTGCTGCTAAAATCATGCTTGATCACTCTCTGTGGCCAGGCAGTTCTCATCTGTTCAGCTTTGCCATCTTTGCCAAGTCGTGTTCGGTCAGAATTCCAAAGTTCAAAACTTGAGGGTGGTAAGAAAGGTGGTATCACTGCTTTCAGTTTATCACTGGGCAGCCTGGTAAATGGTGCACTACTTCTCAACTGAGAGAGGAAAACAAAGAAAGGGGAAAAGAGCCGCTTCTTAAGAAAGATCACTGGGAGCTGATGATGTAGTTTCAAAATTCTAAGTTAAATAAAAAGAAGGAGACAAATGCATTTTTAAACAAAATAAAATGGAAACGAGCCACAACAGTAGTATTTCTGAAGATGTGCAACACATACTAACAGAGAGAATCCAATGGACATTCTGGCACCCGTCAGTACGCATTCATTTAATACAACGAATACAGTTCATTAAGTGGCAGAAACTGTCTCTTCCTTCATTGGGTTGAATCTTGCTTCAAATTACTTTTAAAAGGAATGTTAACAATTCATTTCCAGAGAAATAACAAGGAAGTCCTCTCTGTATTCTCAGACAGTACACCTGGAAACAATGAACAACTGCCTGTTCCTGCTGTATATGATCTCCAGAAAGAGAAAAAACAACATAACAGATTTGGCTCCATGGAGTTCTGGCAGTCACATCAAAAGTTACTCAATCTTCTTCAGAAATAACATGAAGGATAACCGGCCAAATTTCATGACCCCTCCAGGGAGTAAGCCGTAGGGCAATTTAAAGCTATAGCATAACAAAAGACGAAATAGAATAATACAAATAAACATTCCTTATTACATATTTCATGGTTGCCTCTACTAGTACTTTCTCACTTTCACACTGTACCATGTTCCATCCATATTTTCCTCACAGCATACTGCTTGTCAGGAACTAATGAGCTGTTCCATCTATTTTACTAATTCATTGCTGATCACGTAAAGTGTGGGTAACTCTTGAAAAAAGTCAGTATTTGTGAACAGCTTCCATACCATACTACATGTAGTACTTCCTAGTCTAAGAACTACTGATGTATCACAGTCTGTCAGTTCCTGTCTAGGGCCTATAAACACATGATAGCTCTCTTTCTAATGGTGACTTGGATAGGAGGTAAAAAAAAAAAATAAAAATGATGGGAGCTGCACGACCTTCTGAATTGGGCTGAACACACCAAGAACACTGCAACATACCATGGTTGTCAATAATTCATCATCCTTTCCTCCTTTTGCAGCATTTACACCTGAAAAATATATAAACAATGTTTTATTGTTTACATGCTCCTACTTTTGTTCTCAAGGATAGCTTATTGTTTGCAAACATTCCACAGCTTTACCCTCAGCACACAAAACTAAGATTTCCAGCGGCACTGTCATGTACCTAAATTAAAGTTAAGCCAACAGTCTTATTTCACATCACAAACTGTGGGGGTTTTGCATGGAGAGCTGTACAATTTCAGTAGATGTGCTTTACAATTTGAGTTTTTACAATCTCTCTTCTCAGAATTATTTATGTGTTTGTCTAAATAAATTGGTTTTCATTACAAAAATTAGTTTATCAAAGATACTAACAACTTTTCAGTGACCCGTTTCTACTATCCAACTTAATGGTGTTTGCTGCAGAGTAGTAACATGGTTATATTAGTATTTTCCTGCTTAAGTGATGCTGCACTCAGTGTTCAGCATGATCAATGGTCAGAAGTACAAACACCTCTCTTTCTATATACTACAAATATGTTACATGTTTCTTCAGTTATATTAAGCTAAATAAAAATGAAACCAATAAATTAGTATAGCATCATCTGGACTACCCCACAAGAGCTCAGTTCCCACAAGACAACTCTGGTTTTACCATTAGCTTTGTTATTTGTGATCCAAGCTGTAGCAGCATCAAGGTTTCCAGAGGTGTCTGTATCACTCTGTGAAACTGCTTTTATGGTGGAATTTAATGATGGTTCAGGCTCATCAGGAAAAGGCACAAACTGATTGGAAGGAAATCCATGGCGCAATGTCTGAGTCAACTTCAGCTTGCGGAATCGATTTGACATCCTGCTCCACCAGGACTAGATTGATAAGACGACAAAACAATTTAGTTCCAACTAAAAGACAAAACGAGGAAAAGATATGTACAATTAAGTAATCCTTACAGCAGTGATCAATCTGTCACGGAGTTTTTGAGATAAACTACAAAAGCAATGTTAAAGTGGTTTGTGATTATCAACAGAATCCTTCACAATAATTTGTATTCATAAGATTAATCTCTTTCCTTATTTTACATCTGGCAAATGCCTTACAGTATTTTTCCACACTATCTGGAAAGACAAGGTAGATGAAAGTATTGGGGCAATTTGAATAGGAAATTTTTACAGCTACATCGCAAATATTTAATATTCCCATTAACTTCCAATTTTTCCATCCATTATTACAGTCTCTGGCACCAATAAACTGGCATGTATATTTTCTGCTTTTTAGAGATGTGCATAGAAGTTTATCCAATCTGCATGAAAGCTTCTCCTTAAGATTTTCAAAATCAGTGGCAAACTGGAAGAGCTCTGATAGTATTCCTGTCAAACTAAAGATCCACAATCCATACAGTGCTGCTATACAGATAACCAGATAACTTAAAACCCTGCCAGACTGGAAAGACTATAAACTGGAAAAGAGCAAGGCAAGGAAATACTAGCTGTGAAAACAACACAGACCATAGGACTACTGCACCTACAACCTCCATCCATACAGGTATCACATATGTGGAAAACATTACACAAAAGGACCACCTTTGCTCAAAATAAAATCTATCCAAGTATTTACAGACTTAACACATTTTTACAGGCAGACAGTGCAAGATGCTTCAAGTACTTAGCAGGACATTTCTCTAGACCATACGAGATCTACAGGATATATTAAGAAGACCTATGCAATATGTATTAAATATTATGTGGCTTGTAGGTAAGTCAGATTATAAATATCTTCTGATTATTTCTTAGTAAAGCTTCTTCTTTCCTTTCTGGAACACTTTTTAAAAAAATAATAGTGTCTTGTAAAAGTAATGGTACTTTATCAAGGCAGCTTTACATGATATCCAATCCAGATAACACACTTTGCTAGTTTACACTTTATTCTTAGCCATTCCTTCTCACCATACATAGAGTCCTCTCTCTTTGGCATTTAACATTTTTCAAATGCTTACTGATATATGTCTTCCCAACTGTCATACAGTAGAAGTAAGTAATATAAACTGTAAACTTATTCCCTATAAATCAATCCTTCTAGCAGATGATCATTAAAAAGATTTTAAATCTGCACAGAGCATTAGCAACGGATAGAGTTCTCAGACCTTTGTATCTCTTTGGAGCCATAACTAATAAAGATTTACATTACTTGCAGCAACAAAGACCTGATGGAAAAAGGCAAGAGAGACAAATAGTTCCGAGAAAGCAATAAAACCCACACAGTTCACCATTTATTCACCTTCCAAAAGAAACTAAAAGGGCAAAAAAATCCATCTAGTTTTAACACAGAGTACAATGAGCTTACAAAAGAGACTGCACAATGTGGTTTGATTTTGTTCACTGAACCTAGCTTGCTTCTGTAACAAAGATCACTTCTGCGTGCCTATCATCTTTGTTACTCTTCTTCTCAGTGCTTCTGCTTCGTTAACATATGCTCGCACCACAAACTAACCAGAAATGGAGTAAGTAGAGCCACTATGTTACCATATAAAAAACTACTGCTCTCTGGCAAGAAAGGAATGATAGCAGAGAGGTTCATCTTGTCCTCTGGTGTTCAGAGTATGGTGGTCTGAGCTCTGCAGTTTCCAGTCTGCTGCTGCAGAAGTTTGTGGCCTCTCCATATACCCTACCACATCACACACGTACAGAAGCTGGAATAAAGGGCTTTAAACCAGTCTGAAGCAGCCACCTAACAGAAATGCATTTGTGGTTAAAAATAGTGTCTGTCAAAAGGCTGAAATCTAGTAGCAGCGGGAAAAGGCAATAGTATCAAAGAACAGAAGAATAGTGTTGCCACTTGAGAAATACCTTAGATATTTGTAACAATATTAGGAATGAAAGAATAGGGGGAAGAACTAGAAATCTCTGCCCTCAAACAACTTTAATCTAAAAAAGAAACTGAATGTGATAATTCACACGCCTCTAATACTGACATTGAGAGTATAAGTTGCTGAAGAAGCATAGGCAGGAAGAAAAGCGAGGAAATAAAATTTTTGCATATGGCAGAGGCACAACCTTGTTTTCAAGTCCACAAAATGGTGAGAAACAAAGTAGTTAACAGTTCCTGTGTGAAAAGGATGAAGAGTGAGATCATGCTTATCCACTACAGAACTGGTAGGTAAAGAAACAAGTCCCTGCATTATCCATAAATTACAAATAAAAAAACCACACAACAAAATAAAAAGTCTACTAGTTAATGACAAAAGTGATCAAACAGGAGGCACTGAAAAGGGTTTGGTTTTTCTGAACTTCAAAGGCAGCCTACTTGTGATTAGATATTTTAGTATGAATACCATTAACAGGAGGAATGTAGGAACACACATGCATTTGCTTAACAGAGAAAAAATATTTAAATGAGCTTACACAAATTAAAACCAGACAAGATTGATTAAAATTACCCTACAGTAATTATAGACAACACAACCTTTGAACAAATATTGATTATCTTCAAGATAAGTTAAGAGGATGGAAGAAGTTGCAGAAATCAGGCAAAAGGCAAATACCTAATCATCCTTAACCCAAAGAGGAAAATCTGAAAATTTACTGATCAAAAAGCTTAATTTGAAAGGACAGCATTGAAAAAAACTTCATACATCATCACAGCTCATCAGAGACAGCTGGCATTGGTTTGCTCCAAATAAATCCCACCAAATCAATCTCTCTCTCTGGCAGAGTAACTGGTCAAGTGGGCAGAAGGGAGGAAAAGCTGTCACATAACTTGACCTTCATAAAGCTTTAATTGCTCTTCCATATAACATTCACTCACCAACTCAGGAAAACATGGTTCAAGTAAAATTAATATAAGGAAAGCACCATAGCCAAAAAAAAACATATTAAGAAACAAATTACCAACAATTTGATCTCAAACTGGGAGGACATACTTCGTGGAGTGAAACAGCAGTTTGGAAATGTTCAGTAGCAACAGCAACAACGAAACATAACATTTTGCACAGTGTATGTAAGACATCTACCCAGACAGTTTATGAGCACCTTTTATACATTTAAACATTGACAAATTGACATTATTCAGTAGAAGTCAAGCTGACATGTAAAAAAGAAGAAATCAGGTGTACAAATACAGAAAAGGAAGTAAGTAGCAAAGCAGCTGTACTAAAGAAGGAAAATCAGAGTTGTAACATACCATAAAGTAAGTATAGATGCACAGAGTCTTACTACTGCAAAAAAGGTGAGTTTCACTGATAACGGTATGAAATACACAACAGTGCAAGTAGTTTTTGTACGCCATTACGTGATAGTGAGACCCTAGTTGGAATCTCACGACTTGTTTTGGATCCCTCATCTTGACAAATACAGAGAAATCAGAAATAGTAAGAAGTTTAGGAAACGTAACCTGCAAACCACAAAATCTGAATTAATTATTTTTGTTTAGCCTAGAAAAAAAAAGATATAAGAGAATATAATAATTCTTTAAGTATTTATATAATTCTTATAAAAATGAAGGTTGCCACTGAACAAGAATCAATCAACTTAATATGCAGCAAGAGAGGTACAGATTAGATGAGGAGAAAAAAAAATTCTGACTGCAAGAAGTGGCAAGCATTGGAACTGGGTGCTGACAAAGACCATGGGACCAAGGGATCTTCACCACAGGGAAGAAAGAGAGAACAGAAACTTCCGTCAAGGATGTTATTGGCATGTTTATTCTGTCTCCTTACATAAAGGCAGGTGAGCCTCCCAAGTTCCCTCCCATTTTTACATTTCTGTGATTCTGTAGACCCCACATTCTGTTATTTGCACTGAGCTAGGCAGAAAATTTATGTACTGGCTGAGTCACCGTAAGTGTCTTTGGTTTACAGTCCTTGCTCAGCACAGGGCAGTTGTCCACATAGAAGCACTATTGCTACAAAACCCAGGAGAGGTCCCTCGCTTCGGCACTCTCTTCACATGGTGGTCCAGAGAGAGATGAGTTTTATGACACACACCCCCCCTCAGCCAATCTGAAAATGTCACGTTTACACCCTCTGAACATTTGTAAGGAAAGTAAGATATGTAACATAACTGTGGTCAGACAGAATGGTTAATAAAGCATTAAGCAGTGATGGAAGAGAGGGCTATATTGGCTTTCAGGATATATATATCAGAGAACTATACAGAATACTACTGAAAAAGTGCTTGATTAAGATTTGTAAACACTAATATTTTGTAGTTTTGAGACCAAATACTTAAACATTCCACACATCAAAATATTGAATTTGTCATAAGCAAATGTACACCGATGTGTACATCTTCATCACTGAAAAATCTTGTAATTTTTTATTTTACTTCATCATCTTTTATGATCCTAATTCAAGCCTTTGTGTCACAACACTGCAGGAGCTGCAATACGACCTGTTGTTGATCTGCAATTCATAAAGCCAAAAGCTGTTCTGACAATCTCCCACTTAAGTAACTGCATTCTTAAATGGGTCCATCGAAATTGATACTGAAGTTGTATCACATTGAATAATAGAATAATCATATGAAAATAATCACTTGTTGTTTCATAGTTAAAACTGCAAAACAGATTTGAGCTAAAGTAGAAGCTTAAATGGTCTTTAAAATGAATGTCAACTATAGCCTGGAAATTACGACGTGTGTTTCCAAGACCCTGATAATATTTGTACTAAAAATGTGAGATCATGGACTCAAGGAAATTCTGAGATACACCATAATAAAAAATTATTCACCTAAATAGACAACGGCAACAACAACAAAACAAACTAAGATTTTTTCCTTCTCTTTTGCAAACAGTCAACGTAAGTCATAATATCTTTGTTTAAGTGGCATGCACTTGTTCTGACTCCATGTTGTTACCTACCAGACTACCGCCAATTCCAAGTTAAGGATACAGCATAGCAGAGGAAATGTAAGCCTGAACTGCACACTCTTCCACTCCTCATATTAAAATCTCGGCTACGATCTTCTTAATTTTCAATGCCAATAGCCTGTCTCCATTTACGGTTGAAATGAAGTCTACCCTCTGTCCTAGAGGTAGACAAGAGATACAGTCTCTTGGGCTGTCCCACACAGAGTCCCAGGAGTATTTTCAAGCACATTACTGGCGCTTCAGTTTCCTTCCCACATGATCCTTTCTTCTTCTAGAATCTACTAAATACCATAGAAGTAAAATAAAAGAACTACTGCTGCAATCCCTACATAGAATAAACATAAAAATAGGCAGTTTCTCACTATGTTAGGAGACACTAGCCAAATCTCCACAACACATCCACTCCAATTTCAAAAAAAAACATAGCAATGACTATAAAACCAGTCTACTAAAACTGGAGTACATTTGGATTTCAAAGGTAGATTTTAAATTAAGATCATAATGGAAATTCAGTTCCAAAATTATGAACATGATACCTTCCACTACTTAATGTTGAGACCTATTTCTAGGCACTGAAATGCTTTGATGCAAACTCTTCCTTAAAAGTCTTCTCTTTGCCTTGCCATCTGAGAAAAAGAAAGCCAAACACACGCTACATTTCATAAAACTAGGAAGTGCTGTCAATGAGGAATTCAGAACACACATCCCAAAAAATACCCAGTTACATATTAGATCCAAAGTACTTCTTAGCAATGACTTTCTCTGTTTCATACATTACAGGAAACAATGCATTGGTCATTTATCAAGAGTGAATATATTTACCTTTAGACCTCCTTTGTCATCTGGCAACATTGGGACATTTAAGGATTGCCTACTTCTGGAACAAGGCAAAGATGATCTGTTGTTCAGTTTATTCTTATCTTTGTCTACTTGCATGCATGCTGATGCCAGTAACCGTACAAGCTCTGTGTCTAAAAGAAAACATATTAAGTTAATGTTTAGTCTGTTTTGCTTTCCCAAATTGTGACTGATACACTGACACTTTCCCTATAAATCCTATATAAGTAGTAACTGATCCACCTCTCAAACACAAAGCAGATGAATCCCCAAAACCTTCTTTCTTGACCTAGGTTTCCTATGCCTTCCCCCCACACAGTGGGCTGCAGTCTTACCATCACCTCCCTAAAGGCATTTATCAATATAAGTAAGTGTGCTATTCAGTTGGAATCAGTCATGTGTGACCAAGTGAACTGCCTCCTCTCGCACTTTGTAGAAGTTAAGAATGATATTGTGATGCTCCCTTTTCTCACCTGACGCAGGAGAGAGTAGAGCAAAATGAGTATTCTTTCTTCAAGCGTAGGTTGCAGAAAAGAAGCTTGAAATTAAATCCCAAAGAGAAAGGAGATGTTCAGCCTGGACAATGAAGGGACTGAAAAGACATGGTAAGAAAAAAGGAGGACAAAAAAAGTAAGAAAGAAAGAAAGAAAAAAAAAAAAGAGGAAGAAAAAAGAATGAGCATGAGATGAGGACAGGAAAGCAAAAAAATATTCTGTAAATCTGTATATTATACAGAAGTCAGGAAAGAATTTCAGAAGGGCAGACAGGACTGACATTGTATATATATATGTATTTCATATATAGAGAGAGAGGTAACAAGACAAACTACTCCATCCTACAAGAAGTTATAAAATAATTCACTGTATTTATTTTCTAAAACTTCATGCTATTAGTGATCTGCTTTTGTCAATGGAAAGGTATCTGCTAGTGACCAAAACCACCATGAGTACCTACAGAAAAAAAAAACATTAATTCCATCATCAGTAGTATTTTTTGGCTTCAGATAAAGCAATTCAGGTATCAGGCAAGGTTAACAATAACAAGTTATAGAGGCTAAACAAACCATAACAAAAACTAAATGTGTTTCGTTGAAGCCTCCCCAAAACACGCTGCCTTTTTCTAAAGCACTCCCAAAAAAACCTTAACCGTGATGTGTGATTTATTCTCAACCTTTACAGACTGAGTGGAAGGTTCAGTCAGGAGTTCACTAGTTTTGTTCTGACTGCATTCTCTTTGTCCTGTCCCTTTACTGCTGTTTACCGAGTGGATATCTCTAGCTCCAGTTCATAGCTCTGTGCTAATAACACTACAGTATATCTGGGCCATCACAGTCAAATGCCACTGAACTGGCTCTGGTGACACAAACAACACATTCTGGAGCATCTTCAAACACAAAGGAAAGAGGAATGCACAAAATCTGTCATCCCATAAATGTATACACTCATCTAACCGATTAGCTCAAAATTTTCAGGCAGTATTCTTTCTTGGTCCAGCCCAGCCCAGACTCAGAGGACGCTTCCTAGCATCTTTAAAGTATTTTCTATATTGGAAAGGATGTTTATCTGTTTATGTTGCACACTTCCTCAGTGCTCTTTGAAAGAACATACCTGGATCATTCAGCAGCATTATCAGGTCAAAAGCTGTGTATCCATTTTTTGCACGAAGATTGACGTCAGCTCCTTGATTTAATAAATACTTTACAACGTTTTTGTTTCTTTAAGGGAAGAAAAGAAGGCATGGCTCATGTTAAAAAAAAAAACAAAAAACTCTAATACTCCATTTTCATCCTTTTATACCATTGCTCCTCAATTAGAGATCAGAGTTTTACCTTTTCTATAGCTAACGAAGTCTAAAATTTGTTCACAAGCTATTCAGAAGGTCCCGTGATTCCTTTGCCAGTTACGTTTACTCACTATGAATTACACTAATCAACATGCAGAAAGTCAGCCTAAAAAACCTGATTTGAGTAGTCAGTTTCTTAAGCTGACCCTTTGGAACTGACTCTGGAATTTGTTGCCAAACACCTTCCCAAAGAAAGGCCGTTAATGCCTAGGGCAAGAAAGCAGATGGAAAGCCAAAGGTCAGTCCAGTAGTCATCATACGCTATCACTAATACTTCAGTACAACTTCATATTCAGAACAGGTAAGAAATTACATACAGAAAAGCCAAATTGACTGAAGATAATTCATAAACTCCAAACAGTACTTCACTGAATTACAGACACAAACTATATAATTAAGAGGGCACATCATCGCTTTCTTCAGGTGTTTAAAATGCAAAACAAATCAGCATTAAATGATAACCAACAGAAACACCTTCCAACAAAAGCTCATAAAAGCTAGTTGCATAAAAGGAACTCATCATCCCATTCCCATTAGCCCCTCTCCCCTTTCATACACCTGAATAAATAAGCAGGACTTGCCTCTTGAGTTAAAAACAATACTGTAATTCAGCCTACAAAATAAGCAAACAGACAACAAAGCTAGGGAAAATACATTTAATACAAAACTCCTCTTGAACAGAGACTGACCTCGTGTAAAAACAAACTCTGACATGCATAAGCAACACAGAGCCAGAATGTTCTTAAGTCACAATAGGTGACTGCAAACTCTAATACTGAAGCTGACAAACATATCTCAACCTCTTCACTTCAGGGTGTTACTTCTTGTCGTACAGAGGAAGTTTTCATTTTTGAACGCACTCCAGATAAAATCAACCTAAAATGGAGGAGGACTGTTCTTCCTCTCTTCTAACAAAAACTCTGCTTATCCCCACCACAGCTCCTCTGCATACTTCCCATTACTTTTCTTCTCTTCCTTAAAACTGTGTCACCCCCCCATCCTGCTTTCCAGTCCTGCGCCTTGAGAGCGCACAGATGCAATCCTGCAGTGCCTCTGACTCACACAGACCTTGCCTGCTCCCTCCTTCAAACCAGGGACCCTCCACACCACTGGTGCTCCTGAGAAAGGGTTGGCTGAGGCTCTGTGGAGGCTAAAGATTTCCACTTGTTACGAAAATTCACAACTGGTCCATGTCGATCAAGGAGAAAGGCTAGGATGCAAAATATAGAATTACAAGGGTAAATATTCATGCACATGAGGTGTCCCAGCCAAACTGGGGCACTCTGAATGTGGTTTTACACAGGGTTCTTGTACACTTTGAGCGTTTAGGTACAACATGATTTGACTAATCACTAACACCCACACTACCAATTACTAATTACAGCAAAACTTTGCAAAGCAACTGTATTTCTGCAGCATTCTTGCGGCTCGTCTATTGATCCCAATGACCCTGGTGTCAGTCTTGCTATTGTTACTTATCTACGCCACCAGACAACACTGGCAGGGTTTCAAAGATGTGTTAGAGGGGCTATGATGCTGGTGTTATCTTGGTTGAGTGGGGCTATCTCTTATGCTTCATAGACAGCTCTACGTTTCCAAGAAGCCAAGTCCTTATTTCCAGGGCTGGGATGTCCTTCTGGTCCTTCCACTGAGCCAGTGTCCTTTAGTTTGTTTTAATTCAGCATAAACAATACCAAAGTCTCCAGTAAAACTCCACTACCTCAAACATTAAGTGTATTAACAAAGTTAATACAATTTCATACTACAAAGACTGATTGATGTAATAGGGAAGGGAATTTTCATAACACAGTCCTCCAGGAAACTGAAAGGGCAGTATCTGAATGCACGCAGCGCTCAGCTGTGCCTGTGCTTTCACAGACAAGAGGAGCGGCGGAGTACCAGCAAGGGGACATGCCAGCAACCCTGCCTATCACTTTCTGATGGCTGCTTCTACTCCAGCTGTGCGCTGGGGTGGCTGCTGATAAGCAAAATGGCCGCACCAGAAAAACTGATCTTCAAGTACTTCTGTGAAATGCCTATCCCTACCACCGGTACTGAGTTGGTGAGGAAGCAGAGAATCTCATCTTACCCAGGAACTACTTCAGAAAATTTTCACAAAGCAATGACAACTTGACCTCCTATTTTTCCCCTTTGTTGCATTTTCATAGCCCAATGCTGACTAAAAATAAAAGCTGGAGCAAAATATCTGCATTTTTACAATTAATGTGAGCATTACCAGACAGTGAAGTGAGTCTTCACTTCGCTGAGGGCCTCGTCTACAACAACAGAGAAAAGTTCACCTTCCTAAAACAAGTATCCTGTATTCAGACAACGCCAAGTATATGACAGAGATCATATGTGACGTACCAGGCCAGTTTCTGGGGTCTGACTCTTAAGCACCTACTTGCATTTGTAAAGTAGCTTTAGAGAAAACGACAATCAGTTCTCCAGTGGGTGCACTTCAGAGAACTCCATGAAAACTAAAGGCTGAAGAGGGGAACATTAAGAATGGTTTTAAGACTGGAAAATACGGCACACAGAAGGGTGATTGCCTTGAAGTTTCACAACTTGTTGTAGGCCTACAACCTTGGCAGGGGGGAATACTATCTTACAAAACACTAAAAAACATCAAAGGACGGAAGTTGAAATCTGCCTCAAAGCTCCCAGTGCCTGCCTGGAGCACTATGTTCCCAGCACTTAGTAAGCAAGATTCAAGTTCCCAAACACGCCACTTATTCTGAAATGCAAACGGCATTCAGGTCTGCTCTGAAAAACTGAGGGCAGTGCAAGAGTCATGGAAAACTGAGGTCACAAGTCTCTCAATTTCCTGTAAGACTCCTCTGCTTCCAAATTCAGTATCAAAAAGATTTTTTTCTATTGGGATGTAAGAATAATGAAACTTCTTTACCACTAGACACAAAGAGAGCATGTATCTTACCCATGGTATGTGGCCTGCATTAGTGCTGTCCAGCCATGAACATTATCCTGTTTGTCAATATCAGCATTTTTCTCAACAAGGAGCTGAATAAGGGGCAGTTGTCCGGTTACAGCTGCAATCATTAACGGAGACGCGCCGTCAACATTGGTAATATTGACCTGACTTGGGTCTTCATCAATGATCTCTTTAACCAGCTGAAAGTTTCCTGCAAAACAGTGATAAAAGACAATCTACATGAGCAACAGAGAACTGCTTAGCCACCGAATCAGTATGTATTTTGATTTGCTGACACTGGTCTACATTTCCTGAAATTAAAACAGAAAAAATAAAGTAGTAGAGCAACTGCAGTACTAAAGCTAAATATTTTTACCCACCTTTGGTCTTCTAGTTAATCAGTACATCTTCCCAGGCTACATAAAATCGTGGCATAAGCATGAGGCACTGTTTTCCCTCATTTTCCCTATCTGTACACTTACAGTACAATCTCATTACAAGAATAATTTTCTGAAATGAACGACTAAGCTATAAAGGCTGTATAAACTGCAGTGCATCTCACATGTGAAGACACATGTCCGGAATATTTCTATTAAATTGTCGTAACATGATGCCATGTAAGGAAACCAGATGATGCTGAGACACAATGATTTGTCCGTCAGCAGGATGAAGATCCCTGTTCCATTTCCATAGGCTGAAATCACAGAAAGCAAAAATTTTAGAATCAAAGAGAATGGGTACAAAGGCACCCTGAAAGGTGGCGGAGGCCAGCCCTTGCCTTAAGCAGGCGGAGTAATGCCCTATGTCACACTGACCCATAAGTTCCTCCTACAAAGGTGGTTCACTGATTCTAAAAAGCTCCACTGATACAATTCCAGAACCTCCCAAAGAATTAATCTATTCCAGTGCGCAACTTTTTTATATTCAGAAAGTTTTTTTTAATTTTGCCTCCAATATTTAAACTAAATCTCCAGTGCACAACTTCCCTACTCCTTGCTCAAGAGCAGTGCGTTACTCCTGTCATCTTTCTAGTTCTTTAAAAGTGAACCTAATGTTCAAGTTTCCACATAAAGAGGCTGGTAGTCACTGAGTTCTTGTTTGGATTACAAAAAGCTGTATAAAATACACTACTGAACCTATTTTAACCAGGTTGCAGATCCTCTTCTAAATCTTAATAAAAGTAGGAACAAGCACTTTTTTAAGATGTATGAGGTAGTCAGGGTTATCTTAAGCAGAGAGCTATGCTAACTCACCTCCCTTACTTTTTTGATGACATATGGCAGGTAAAAGCAGGGAAAAAGAGGAAAGAAAGATCTCTGCGACTGAATACATACCACTGTAGGAAGAGTGGCAAGAAGCAGCAAATCATCAACTGCCATGCAAATGGAAAAATTCTCACCTTTAAAAAAAACTTTCAGAAGGTAAACTGCTTCATGACATGAGCTGCCTTCAACTCAATCACAGGCATGAACATTCTCCTTGGAAAGCCAGTCAGAATCCCAGATAAAACCTGCAGGAACTTGAATACACTCACTGAAAGTAACACCCACTCGCACCACTCAGCTAATTTCTTGGAACGGGAAAGATACAAAAGCACAGAACTACTTTTCTTATGTCCCAATTTAGTAAAAGACAGCAGGTGGCTTTTTCAACACAGACCCGCATCACAGACTGTGTTAAACAGAAACCCTGGAACCTACAGAGACTCCAGAACTGACTTGGAACTCTGGCCTGGACACTTCTTAACCTAGTCAGTTGGTTTTTCAACAGTGCTGCCAACCATAGCCAAGTATTTTAAAAAAAAAAAAAAAAAAATCAAAAGGAGTATGCTGACCAGTAGTCATTTGGGTCCTCCCCTAAGACTCCTTCCGACCCAGCACTAATGTTTATAAATCTCAAACTAAACGTCACAGGGGTACAAGAAGGACAATTGAATTCTCTGAATCTAACAGACCTGAGTCTTTCCCCGGAAGAGGTTTTGGTAGCTTATGTGTGAAGAGTCAACATTTGAGAGCGAGCTCCTGGTACTGCTACCTATCACCTCTTTCTTCTCCACTACTACATCTGCTCATTTTCAGTCCTGGTAGCCTGAAAAGTCATAAAGTTCCTGAGAAGGTGACTTCTGATGCTTAATTGAAAAGCAGCTGTTAAACTGTTGTACCAAATCCAGGATGAGATCTGAACGCTAAGGCCAGGCTTGACCATTTCAAACACATCTCTAATTTTTCAATAGGAATGCAGCAATAATAAAACTTCTAAGAAGATAATTGTCAATTTAAAGATGCATTGCTGAAATCCATTTGGACAGGTGTTCAGAAAAAAATGGCATTTTCCTTCACTAAAATCACTCATTTACAAATAATAATAATGAAAAAAGATCTAAAAATCCATCAGAAACCATGAAAGTTATTAACTCAGAGCTCTCTTTAGGTTTCAGCTCCCTACTGAAAGCAAGAAGGTGAACCATACTAAAGGCTCCATGATTATGTTACAGTCAGGAGTGGGTAAAAAAACTGGAATGAGGGGTAGCTGTGCTGAACTCTAAAGCTTACTTATTGTGTATGCACATATCACAGTCAGGAGGGGTAGAGCCAGCTTTCAGTACGCTATGATCAGATTTGCTATGCCATGGACACAGAAAGCACAGCACCAGTAACGATTAGTAGGTCCCACTGCACGTACAAGGCTGTATTACCAATGTTTCCTCATTGTCTGGGGCATCTTAGTTGCAAGTAAGAAGGGCAGCCTGACAGGAGAACAGACTCCCCCTTAGATCTCATGAAGCACCTCTTATGACTTCACTGGACATAAGATTTATTCTCACATGGCAATGACATCTTCCAATATTGGGAAAAAAATATTAAGTAGATCTAGCAAGAACTTTTCTTTATTACTATTTTTTTCTTTCTGATATCTATGTATAGCTAGGACTGCTGGCAATAGGCTAAGCATGCTACTAACTAGCTGAAAACACATAAATGACAAAATATCAACTATAAGAGCAGAAATCAAATAAGGCTCAAATATTGAATCTCTCTAACCTGTCAAAGAGATTGCAAATAGTTCAGAATTTTCTGACCTGTGACTTTATTGGGAACCTCAGCAGAAAGTGAATACCCTTGTTTCCCATGTCAAAGACATCAGATAGCAAGCCTCAGACCAAACCCTACACTTCAGCACTGTTTTCTATGCTGGAAGATCCAGGAAAACAGGTAACCAGAAAGCAGCTTACCATGCACCAGGAGTGCGACCCATCAGAGCCTGGATCGCATTTAGATCAATAGGATGGCACTGGCTCTTTCTGTTTGCCACGGAACAGTTTTACCAGTTGTGTGCTCATGAAAGTCATTCTGGTTCATGAGAGAACAGGCAAGATCTGAGACACTTACTCTTTTCTTGAAGCAACTTTAAAGAGCAATTACAATGCTCATGCATGTCCAGTATATTTTTTGCACCAATTAGTGCTTTTGTTTTCATACTTCGAGTTTACGAGAAAGGAAAAAAAAAATCATATTAAAGGTAGCATGGTCTTAAAATAACTGGAACTACTATATCACACCATTTTGGCACGAAGGGCACAAAGAGGTGTTCATAAAGATTTTCTCATATTGGAACATGAAGAAAAAGAAATATAAACTACTGAAATAAATGTATTTTTAAAATGAAAAGAAAAGTAAGGAAAAAACCAAAATTGCATGTAACAAACAGAACACATCTCAGTTTCCCATGTAAGCAAACAAACATGCCCTGAAGTTACAAGGACCAGACATGGTGGTAGAATCCTGTCAATACTTACCCAATTTCAAAGCATGAAAGACATCAGGTTGCTTCTTTTCTGTATCTGGAAGAAATATAGATATTTGTATTAGCAATCATTAAAAAGGCATAAATTTCTAGCAAAACTGTTACAGCAAAAACTCTTCAAAAATTTACATAAAGTTACTATAAAACACATGTTTAGACATACATTTAATAAGAACAAAGAAAGCACTGATAACCTTTTTACTCCCTTTGGGAAGAACGACTCGCCTGTATGGTTCTCTGTGCAGAGTTAAAGCTACAAACTATAATAAAGCACCAGTACAGGCTTTTGCCTTTCAACTTTCATCCTCTATCAGGAAATTGTATTTGGAAACTTCAGTGTTTCCTGCCTGGAAGACTAAAATATCAATTAAATTGCCACAATATGGTTCTGTAATCTGCTGTAGTCCTCTGTACAACAGTGAACACTCAAATAGTACAGGATTATTTTGAAAGGTGACTCAAAAGGAGTTTTACAAGCTGTTTCAATTTTATTTCCTCTTGAGTATTGCCAGGTTAATTTGTGAAGGTCACAAAAATAATAGTGATTTTTTAACTACACAGATTGCTATTTGTGCTTTAATACATACCCTTCAGCTCCCAGATCACCATCCCCATAAGTAAGAACTGTAACTATTACAAATTTCAATATTTTGAGTGAAGGATTGTTCCTTCGACACGCCTTCAAAGTGCTTTGAAACTGCTAACACTATGTAAGATGAGGAAAAAACAGTGATATATTTTGCATCTTCCACTCAAGCCAGAAAAACATATCCTCCTCCATCTCCCTAAGCATTACTGACACCATAGAATCAATGGGGTAAAAAGATTTTAAGGAAAACAAGGAGACGTTGAGAGATTTCCTGAGCCTGATTCTGCCATTTTTCTGACAATACAGAAAAGGTTAATGTTCATAGCTTGACTCCAAAGGAAGTAAACTGAAAATGCTGAAGAAAAGCAATTGCTGGAAATCCCCTCAAAAATGAGAAACTCTTATTTTAAGAGTGGGAAAGAGAGCAGTGGGTCCTTGTCATGTTTTAGCCCTAGTCAGCAACTAATCACCATGCAACTGCTTGCTCACTCCTCCTCCTATTCCCCGGCGGGATAGGAAGGAGAATCGGAAAAAAAATAAAACTTGTGGGTTGAGATAAGAACAGTTTAATAACCAAAATAAAATAAAAAATAACAGTAGTAGTAGTGGGATGTAACAAAAAAAAGAGAGAGAAATAAAACCCAAGACAGACAAGTGATGCACAACACAACTTCTCACCACTCTCTGACCGATGTCCAGCCTGTCCCCGAGCAGTGATCGGCCCCTCCCGGCCAACTCCCCCAGTTTCTATACTGGGCATGACGCTCTATGGTATGGAATATCCCATATCCCTTGGGCTCATTGGGGTCAGCTGTCCTGGCTGTGCTCTCTCCCAGCTTCTTGTGCTCGCTGGCAGAGCGTGGGGAACTGAAAAGTCCTTGACTTAGGGTAAGCACTGCTCAGCAACAACTGAAACATCCCTGGGTTATCAACATTATTCTCATCCTAAATCCAAAACACAATACCAGCTCCTAGTAAGAAAATTATTCTAGCCCAGCTGAAACCAGGACAGTATCCACCCTTTATTCTATACCATTTATGTCATGCCCAGGTCCCACACTTACAATACATTCAAGTTAACCACCATCACCTTTCCTTTTTTTTTTGATATATACACACAGATATCACTCCCTCAGTCTATGGGCCACCCCTAGAAAATGTCCGTTGAATTAATTTAGTCCTTGACCTTGGGCTCCATCTGTCATAACAGTCTTTCAGGGCAGGTGTGCGGCGCTGGACTGTTGCATGCTGAAGCCAATTCTGATTCCATCAATGCTGCACTCGTCTGGTTTCATTAAAATTCATTCTTCATTAATCTAGGTGATTTTTACCCTTGAAGTGGCATATATAAAAGTGATGATATATGGTGTTATATAGCAATTAACACCATACAATTTAATTCATTGGCTGTTCTCAAGCAAAATCAAATCCCCTTGCGATACTCATCAGACTTGCCCATGCTCCTGCATTACCCACCAAGTGCATCCAGGTCTCTGAGCAAAAGCAGTCCCATGAATGGGTTTGCCTTTGCCTGAGGCAGAAATAAACCAGACTCTTTTCCCTAGCATATTTTTATGTGCACTACAGGGACTTTATCCCCTTCTATATTACATAAAAGTTCTGACTGGGCAGGGTCAGACCGACTGGTAGATCCCCTAGTGTTGACTAACCAGGTGGCTTTTGTTAAATGTGTAACTCAACGTTTGAATGACCCATTGCTCTCAGTGTGGTCTTTAACAGTCCGTTGTATTGTTCCATTTTCCCGGAGGTTGGTGCATGATAGGGGATGTGATATACCCACTCAATGCCATGCTCTTTGGCTCAGGTGTCTGTGAGGCTGTTTAGGAAATGAGTCTACGAAACGAGGGACTCAATTCTTTCTGGTGTGCCATGTCACCTTAAGACTTGCTTTTCAAGGCTCAGGATAGTGTTCCAGGAGGTAGCATGGGGCACGGGGCATGTTTCCAGCCATCACTGGTTGCTTCCACCATTGTAAGCACACGGTGCCTGCCTTGGTGGGTTTGCAGGAGGGTGCTATAGTCAATCTGCCAGGCCTCCCCATATCGATCTTTCAGCCAGTGTCCTCCATACCACAGAGGCTTTAATCGCTTGTCTTGCCTGATTGCAGCACATGTTTCACATTCATGGATAACCTGTGCGATAGTGTCCATGGTGAAGTCCACCCCTCGATCACAAGCCCATCTCTATGTTGCATCTCTTCCTTGATGGCCTGAGGTGTCATGGGCCAACCAAGCTAGAAATAATAATAATTCACCCTTATGCTGCCAATCCAGATCTACCTGAGCCACTTCAATCTTAGCAGCCTGATCTACCGGCTGGTTGTTTTGACGTTCTTCGGTGGCCCCACTCTTGGGTCTATGTCTCCATGACATACTTTTACAACCCAGGTAGCAATATCCTGCCACAATGCGGCAGCCCAGATGGGTTCGCCCCCATGCTGCCAGTTGCTTTGCTTCCATTGCGGCAACCATCTCCACAGGGCATTTGCCACCATCCATGAGTCAGTACAGAGTTAGAGCACTCGCCACTTTTCTTGGTCACCAATGTCTAAAGCCAGCTGGATGGCTTTTACTTCTGCAAACTGTCTCGATTCATCTTCTCCTTCAGCAGTTTCTCTGACTTGTATAGGACTCCCTACAGCAGCCTTCCACCTCCGATGCTTTCCTACAATACGACAGGACCCATCAGTAAAGAAGGCATACGGCTTCTCATTTTCTAGTAATTTATCAAACAGTGGGGCCTCTTCAGCATGCGTCACCTCCTCCTCCTCTGGTGACATTCCGAAATCTTTGCCTTCTGGTCAGTCCATGATCACTTCCAAGATTCCTGGGCGACTGGGGTTTCCTATTTGAACCTGTTGTGCGATCAGTGTGACTCACTCCACGTAGCATCAGTTGCAGGATGTGTAGAGGGGACCCTCCCTTTGAACATCCAGCCTAGCACTGGCAGTCCTGGTGCCAGGAGGAGCTGTGTTTCAGTACCAATCACTTCCGAAGCAGCTCACACCCCTTCATATGCTGCCAATATCTCTTTTTCAGCTGGAGTACAGCGGGCCTCAGATCCTCTGCATCTCCGATCCTAAAACCCTGGGAGTTGACCTTGAGGCTCCCCTGGTGTTTTGTGCCAGAGGCTCCAGGTAAGGCCATTCTCCCCAGCTGCGGTATAGAGCATATTTTTTCCATCTTGCCCTGTCCAGCCTGGCCCAAGGGCTACACCATGAATTATCTCCTGTTTAATTTGTTCAAAGGCTTGCTGTTGCTCAGGGCCCTGTTTGAAATGGTTCTTCTTCCGGGTCACTTGATAGAGAGGGTTGTAATTTGGAATGTGCATTCTGTAAAAACCCAGAATGCCTAAGAAAGCTTGTGTTTCCTTTCTGCTAGCTGGTGGAGACATAGCTGTTATTTTGCTGATCACATCCATTGGAATCTGACAACATCCATCTCATCATTTTATTCCTAAAAACTTCATCGCCTGTGCAGGTCCCTTGACCTTACTTTGTTTTATGGCAAAAGTGGCTTTCAGAAGGATTCGGACTATTTTCTTCTCTTTCTCAAAAATCTCTTCTGCTGTATTGCTCCACACAATGATACCATCAATACACTGCAGGTGTTCCAGAGTTTCACCGTGTTCCAGTGCAGTCTGGATCAGTCCATGGCAAATGGCAGGGCTGTGTTTCCACCCCTGGGCAGTCGATTCCAGGTGTACTGGACACTCCTCCACGTGAAAGTGAACTGTGGCCTGCACTCTGCTGCCAAAGGGATTGAGAAAAATGCATTAGCGATATCAGTTGTGGCATACTACTTGGTTGCCTTTGACTCCAGTTCATATTGAAGTTCTAGCATGTCCAGCATGGCAGCACTCAGTGGCAGTGTGACTTCATTCAGGCCATGATTGTCTACTGTTAGTCTCCACTCTCCATTAAACTTTTGCAGTAGCCACATGGGGCTGTTAAATGGTGAGCGAGTCCTGCTGATCATCCCTTCGCTCTCCAGCTGATGCATCAGCTTATGGATTGGAATCAGGGAGTCTCGGTGTAATATTGCCGCCATTGCACTGTTGTGGTAGCGATCAGCACCCGTCATCCTTCAACCCTCAGCAACCCCACAACAGCAGAGTCCTCCACGACACCAGGCAAGGTACACAGCTGCTTAATTTCCTCTGTCTCCAAGGCAGCAATACCAAAAGCCCACTGGTACCCTTTTGGGTCCTTGAAATACTCTCTCCTGAGATAGTCTGTGCCAAGGATGCACGGAGCCTCTGGGCCAGTCACAATGGGGTGCTTTTGCCACTCATTCCCAGCCAGGCTCACGTCAGCCTCCCA